TTTCTTTGCTCATTTTCTGTCTGGTTGATCTGTCCCTTGGTGTCAGTGGTGTATTAAGGTCTCCTGTTACAATTGTGTTACTGATAATTTGAGTTTTCATTTCTGTTAATAATTGTTTTATATAACTGGGTGCTCTGGAGTTTGGTGCGTATATATTTAAGATAGTTATCTCTTCCTCTTGGAGTTTTCCCCTTACGAGTATGTAGTGACCTTCTTTGTCCTTTATGGTCATTGTTGGTTTAAAGTTCATGTTGTCTGCAAACAGAATGGCTACTCCTGCCTTTTTTTGGATTCCTGCTGCATGAAGAATTGTTTTCCATCCTTTGACTTTCAGTCTGTGAGTATCTTTCTGGGTTAGATGGGTTTCCTGTAAACAGCATATGGTTGGATTTTGTTTCTTGATCCATTCTGCTAGTCTGTTTCTTTTGATTGGTGCATTGAGACCATTTACATTAATGGTTATTACTGTTAAATGCTGGTTAATTGTAGGAATGTTATCTCTCTGCTGTTGCATCTTTATCTTTTGGTTCTGTTTAATTATTTGCTTTGCTTAGTGGTTTTTTCCTTTGTGTATCTAAACTGTCTTTCAATATTTTTTGCAGGGTTGGTTTGGTGTTCATGAAGTTCTTCAGCTGTTCTTTGTCATGGAAGTATCGTATTGCACCATCTATTTTGAATGATAGTTTTGCAGGATATATCAGTCTTGGTTGGAAATCATTTTGCTTTAGGATCTGGAATACTTCACTCCATGCTCTTCTTGACTTTATCGTTTGTGCTGAGAAGTCTGCTGTGATTCTGATAGGTTTTCCTTTATAAGTGATTTGTCTTTTCTCTCTGACAGCTTTTAATAATCTATTCTTGTGTTGGATTTCTGGGATGGTGACTATTATACGTCTGGGTGTAGTTTTATTTTGGTTATGACTGTTTGGAGTTCTATATGCTTCACTGATCCTGATGTCAGTTTCTGATCTCATGCTTGGGAAATTTTCAGCTATTACTTCTCTAAATATCCTCCTGACATCCTTCATGTTGTCTCCCTCTCTTTCATTAATCCCTATCATTCTTATGTTATTCTTCTTTGCATCGTCTTGCAGTTGTTGAATTGTTGTTTCCTGGTTCCTTGTTATTTTCAAAAGATCTTTCCTTTCCTGTTCACTAGCTGCAATCCTGTCTTCAAGGTCTGAAATTCTATCTTCACTTTCATTAAGGCGGTTTTTACAACTTTCAGTGGAGTTTTTTATTTCCTGTATATCTCTGTGCATCTGCATTATGTATTCTGTTTGTTTCTTATATTGCTCGTCTAGGGATTCTATCTTTTTGTTTAGTTCCTCCAATTTTTTATCTGTGTTTTCTTTAGATATATTTAGAATCTCTTTCATTTCTTTTATCATTTCTTCTTTTATCTGGGAGATTATTTCGAGTTTGAATTTCTTTAAAGCTTCCTGGAGTTGCTTGTCAATTTCAGTGGCTATTGTGTCCGATATATGAGGTGGATGGGATATATTTTCTTCTATATACATCGCTCCTAGGGTTTCTTGAGATGGGCTGGAGGTTTGAGGTTGTAATTTGGTCTTTCGTTTTGTCATTTTCCTATATTTCTGTGTTTCAAGTGTTACTTGAAAGCTTCCTCAGGATCTGTTGAAAATCCCCTTCTATGTTTGGAGCTACTGGTACTCTGGCGCCGCGCTACTCCAAGCCATTAGGCCTACAGAACCAGTGGCCCTCCTCTGCCTGCTCAGAACTCCGCAGTTCCAGACAAGCAGGGCCTCAGGAACACTGTGCGCCCACCTGCCCCTTGGAAGCTCCACAGTTCTTCAATCGCAGCCGGGTTAGGGTACTCACCACAGGCCGCAGTGCTTCAGGAACCTGTGGACCCTCCCTGGTTGCAGAGATATCCACAGTCCTCCAGACACGCAGAGAGGCCAGTGAGGGCACCCCAGATCTGCCCAGCTCCTCCTCTGCAGACCTGTGGCCAGGCGCGGCAGCTAAACAGGCTGGGCTAGGCTGGTAGTGTGGGCCAGCCCACCTATCGGGAGCTCAACGGGTCTCCAAATGAAGCCGGGAATGGGGAGGCTGATGTGGAAGCCTTAAACCCACCTCTCTCCTTCACTGCACCTGGAAGCCTGAGGGAACTCCAGCAGTCTGGGCGCAGAAATCCAGAGTCCTCCAGACACGCAGAGAGGCCAGTGAGGGCACCCCAGATCTGCCCAGCTCCTCCTCTGCAGACCTATGGCCAGGCGCGGCTGCTAAACAGGCTGGGCTAGGCTGGTTGTGTGGGCCAGCCCACCTATCGGGAGCTCAGCAGGTCTCCAAATGAAGCCGGGAATGGGGAGGCTGATGTGGAAGCCTCAAACCCACCTTTCGCCTTCACTGCACCTGGAAGCCTGAGGGAACTCCAGCAGTCTGGGCGCAGAAATCCAGAGTCCTCCAGACACGCAGAGAGGCCAGTGAGGGCACCCCAGATCTGCCCAGCTCCTCCTCTGCAGACCTGTGGCCAGGCGCGGCAGCTAAACAGGCTGGGCTAGGCTGGTAGTGTGGGCCAGCCCACCTATCGGGAGCTCAGCAGGTCTCCAAATGAAGCCGGGTATGGGGAGGCTGATGTGGAAGCCTCAAACCCACCTCTCTCCTTCACTGCACCTGGAAGCCTGAGGGAACTCCAGCAGTCTGGGCGCAGAAATCCAGAGTCCTCCAGACACGCAGAGAGGCCAGTGAGGGCACCCCAGATCTGCCCAGCTCCTCCTCTGCAGACCTATGGCCAGGCGCCTAGGCATTTATTTTTAAGGCAACCAGTTCTGGACTAGTATTTTGATCTTACAGTCCATATAATTCAAAATATCCATGGTGCTCTTGAGTAGATGGTGGACAACAGCTTTTAATGAGTGAAATACCAAGATCAATAAAATAAAAACAAAAGCATAGATATGCTTATATTCTGTCTTCAGTTCTCTTGAATGCTAAATAATATAGCAGGGTATATTCAATATGTCTCTTAATATAGACAGACTCTGTGCATGGCAACCGAGTATTCTTCATGTGGGGCATTTTAACATACTATTTCTAGCTGCGGATATCACTGTCAGGAATGCAATTCATGTCACTCTTCTGCTTGATTGGGATGGATAAAGGTGGAAATAAAGGTGGTGATGATTTAGTGGTGCTGACAAGTGGCACTGAGTCTGCTCTCCTCACAAACTCAAGTTGTTTTTTTAAGCAACAGTGGGTGGAAGGGAAAATAAAAAATTCAAAATAAATTAAACATGCTGCAAAGGTTCTCAGTCCTTCCACAGAGAAAAAGAAGAGGATTTTCCAAATTGGGATACTATTTTCTAGAAAGACAGTGGCTCTCACCGGCCTGTGAGATATCAGGTGTGGTTCTTCATCAAAATACCCATGCCTTGGTCCACCCCACCCCACCTCAGGCTCTGAGCTGGGTGCTAGGAAGGAGACCCAGGCATTTGCATTTAAGCCCCATTAGCAGTTGGAGGTGCAGAGTTGGGAGGGATTACTAATTCAGAGTATGTGTGAAGAAGGCTCTTTTCACAATGGCAGACAGAACTAAATGCACAGGGCCAGGGAGTAGGGGCATCATCAGAGTTGAGGCTCATGGCTGACCTCAAGCAATTTGAGGGGAAGTCACAGACTTCTTTGGGAGTCTGATGAAAGCCATGTTTACCCTCCTCAGTAAAATACTCAGTAGGTTAACTCAAATGAAATTCAGCATATGCAGTATTTCCAGGGGATTTTAGAGCAGGACTATATTTTTGTTTTAATGGGAAAAACAACAGTTCAATTCAGCAAAGCAAGGAAAAGAGAAAGCTTGACACTTGACCTCAAGCTGATAACCCTGTAGCTAGATGGAAAAGGTAATAAGAAATCAGTGCGGAGAGCAATCTCAAGTGTTGGGGAACAGGGTGAATGTTGGACAGAATGTTGGACGCGACTGTCGAACTGGAGCATGTGGCTGAGTTGAGCTGCAGAGGACTCTTCGACACTGTGCTTTGAGAGGCAACAATTTAAAGGAGACAGGTGTGGTTCGGCAGCCCCCCAAAGGTGGTGGTCAGACAAAGGTAGCCAGGAGGCTGCACCTGGAGCCTAAATTGAACAGGATCTGTGAAAACAATGCCATCACTGAACGTTGCTCTAGAGGTCACTGACTTGGTGCCCCGGAAGGCTAGGGCCTAGGTTGGGCCAATGAATACAGGTTTGTGAGGGACTCACGGAGACCCAGGCGGCGAAGCCAGCCAGCAGGCGCGGGTGGGGAGGCGGCCTAGTACCGAGCTCGCGCCAGGGTCCCGCGATTGCCAACTCGGCGCCGGGCGCGAGCGTGGGACTTTGTTGCAGCCGCGCTGTGCAAGCCCCAGAGGTGTGCGGCAGAAGCGAACCCGCCCGAGGTCACCGCGGATCAGCGCACAGTAACCCCCTGCGGAGGATCCGGATCCCGTCCCGCCCTGGTAGGCGAGCGGCGCCAGGAGCGTCCGCAGGCTGGGAAGGCAGCGGCCGGCGCGTGCACAGCGGCTCCGGCCCGGGTGAGTACCGGGCCCCGGGCTGGGCAGCAGGGGGCGGGTTGTACTCCAGCGGTGGGGACCCCAGGGCAGGGCGGGGGCGGGCGAGCAGCTAGCGGCGGGAGGCGGGTCCCACCCCTTCCTGGAGGAAGCGCCTCCCGCGCCGCCACCGCCGGTCCCGGCCCCGCCAGGCGATCGCGGGCCCCGCGCGGAGCAGGTAGGCGCGGCGCCCCCTCTTGGCCCCTCCGCCCCGCCTTGTCCCCTTCCCCACTCCGCTCTTCCCCCGCCTTCCTGCCCCCGCCGCCTCTCCCCGCTCCTGCGCCCAGGCCGCCGCGGAGCCGGGGGCGTCCGGCCCGGAGTGGGACAGGGGCGCGGGCCTGCGGGACACCCCGCCCCTCTCGCCTTGGCGGGGCCCCAGGTCCCCGAGGTCCCCAGGTCTCCCGGCCTGCGGGCTCGTCCCCCCGAGAGCGCCTCGCCGCCGCTGAGCCTCAGCCCCTGCCCCCGCGCGCTCGGGATCCTGGTCCCCGCCTCCACCGCATTGCCGCGCCGCCCCTTGGCAGGTGTCCCCGCCGTCCGCCCAGCCCTCCGCTGAAGGGGGACGCGACCTCCCGGACCCCGGCCGCTCCGCGCCCGCTGGGGCTTGGCGGGCGTCTGGGAGGAGGTGCAACTTGCTCCCCGGTCGGTGCACGGAGCCGCTGTCTCCCGGGCGCGCACGCCGGGAGGAACGGGGCGCTCGGGGTCTCAGGAGGCCACCGCGATGGATACCGAGGGCTCGGGTCCTCTCCGGTGAGAACAGTGATCAGCTTGAGTGGTAGAGACAGCCCTTGTTTAGCAGTTTATCCTCCTTAAATAAATGAAAGGGAGAAAGATTTCCACGTTTTAAAATGCATGTGCTTTCTGCCCTGCCTTCCTTCTTCCTCCCTCTGCGCTCCAGCACTTTATTATATCCCGAACACTTCCCTGATCATTTTGATCAGGCATTATCCTGGCCACGGCAGAACCAGGGCTGTGACTACGAATGTGACAACATAGCCCAGGTGGAATGGAAGCCTACGGTCCCATTCTGACTTCCTGATGTGTGGTCCTGTCGGGAACCAACTATAGTAATGATAGGTTAAGAACCAGCGCAGAACAAAACAGCGCTTGGATCTGTTATGCTAACAAAGCCTACCGGGCAATATCAGATTCTGCTTCTTCCATTCTCTGAATCGAAGACAGATTTTAATAATGCAGTACCATAAATCTTTTTCAGGCTGCAGTTCATCAAAGGGTAGGCAAATATGAATGTATAAACTCCACAGTAGCAGTTAATAAGTTGACCTACTTAAAGTTTTCTATTTCACAGAAAAATTGTTGGGCTTATATATGTGATATTTGCAGATCAAAGAATTGTACCGTTCCAGCTCTCATGTTTTAAATCCTAAACTTTTTCTTGCCTGTCTCCGGAAGACACTCCTTTCCAGATTTATCATACCTGTCATCTCTCAATGAGCTAGAAATGTGAATTTAATCTTGGAGGCACAAACATGGGGATTTTAATGGTGTGTCTTTTATTTATACATTTTTAAGTAATTGCTTTGCTGACATCCCAAGTTGGAAGCTCACAAACTGGACATGGTAAATAAAAATGTGAAGTTTTGCTAACAATAACGACAAATTGACAAATGTTATGACACTGAGCAAGCTATTAAAATGTTTGAAAAATGCATATTTATTATCTGCCATTAGCTGAATGCAATCTGGATTTTAAAAATTGGCTTTACAGTATCTTGATAGCAGTTGCTTAGTTTATGTATTTCTCATCAGATGCCTTTTATAAATTGCTTTGGGAGGGCGTTGATTTATTCTGTGGAGTAATTTTTGTGTGTAAACATTACAGTGCTTTAGTATTTAGCCTTGTTACCAATGCTACTCCTATGAAGACCTTGTAGGGTTATTTTGTGCTTGGACTGCCTGCTGTGTGATTGTGGAGAGGGAAGAGGCTGTTAAGTGCTCTGCTTTCTGGCGGGGCACACCTCTGCAGTTTATCTGCCAGTTTGGCAGGGCAGCCAGGAGTTGTGGAGAGGAAAGACCTTTTGGCCCCCAAACTCTTGGCCATTTGGTGTCATGGTGATCTGGCCATTTGGAATCACTTCAGTAACCAATTAAGCAAGACACTGACAAGATAATGTACTACCAAGCAGTCTTCCCCTTCCTGAGAAAAATGTTCAGCACTCAGAATTAGTGCTATAGCAGGAATAGGTTCTTGTGAGGCCTAAATGAGATTTGTGCTGTCTTCCCTCAAACGTGCTACAAGCCCACGTGTAACTGCATCTGGCTGTAAGTTCGTAAAAGTTCATGAAGACACTAAACCAAAGTGTGTAACAAGTATTTTCGTATCTGAAGGGTAAAACAGAAGTGTGCCTCTGCTTGGCTCTAAAGTTTTCTTTCCAGAGCCGATAGAGTTGTGTACCTTTATAATTTTTTTTACTCAGTTTTTCTAATACTTTCAGTCTAACTCACAATTGTTTGGAACTTCAGCAAGTTATCACCAGATATCATTTCCTGATATGTTTGGATTTTTAAAAATGACTTGTGGCAATGCAAAGTCTTAATTTCAAGAGATTTTTAGATAGACCAATTGAAATGGTATTTTGAGATAATAATGGAATTTTTAGTAATTACCTCCAAGCTCATCCCCACAGTGCCCAAAGCCAAAGAAGTTCTGATAGTTAGAACTTGCAGCTCCTTTACCAAGTGGGAAATGCAAGATTTCCTTTTTGAGCACTGTCCAGTAGAATTTTCTACAGTGATGGCAGTGTCCTACAGTGTATACCCTCCCTTGTGGCGCATGTGGCTGCTGAACCCTTCAAACATGGCTGGTGTGACTGAGAAACTGAATGCTAAATTTTATGTAGCTTTAATTAATTTAAATGGCCACACGGGGTTAGTGCCTATCCTATTGCACAGTGCCACTCCAAATCCCCCAGTTCCTATAGCACTGCACAGCGATTATCCCCTAATAAGAAGGAAATTGGAATTGGTATTGATAATATTGAGAACTGAGATTTGACTCAGTTACCCTGGTTTATGAACAGCACCTCCTCTGAAGCAGTGCCTTATGCTGACATTCAGTTCTGCATTGATTTCCATGTCATCTAGCAGCAAAATAAGCATGGGACGGGAGAGGGTTGCCACTTGGCCTCTTGTTCATGAACTTGAGCATTATTTGTTCTTTTGTACACTGTAGAGGTCACTTATTCTTCAAGATGGTTTCTGAACTTTTCACTTTTCAAGGTGGGAGGGGAGATTGGGAGAAAGACAGGAAGTAGCTGCTTCCACACAGTCGTGCCCCCCATCTTCTGACAGCCTCTGAGCAGCTGGACACCTGAGCGCCTGTGACTTGGGAACAGCTGAAAGCTGGTGTCTGCTTTCCTGAGCCTCTCTCCTCTAGCTTCTTTCTCTTGTGTGTCAGGCCCAGATCCCCTGGCTCAGTCCAACCTGTCAATTACCAAATCCACTTTAAAACGTAACCCATCCTTCCTTTTAGTAAAGCTATTAAGATGGAATTTGATATAGTAGCCACTGTGTTGTTTCCATTTTCAATCTAACTTGCTTGGAGTAAGACCACTATTCTGACCCAATAGAGAGACACCTTTTTTTTTTTGTCTTTAACCTTTTTATCGGTACCAGGGATCGAACTCATGACTGCCTGCTTGCAAGGCAGGCGCTTATGCCACTGAGCTAAATCCCCAGCCCCAAGGGACGCCTTTTGAATGAGGCTGTTTTGCAGGATGCTGCCTCTCATGGCACTTGGGTGAGCAATTCTCTTTGCCTGAGCAAGTGCCTCTCCAGGGCACAGTTCAGGTCCTGGAGGGCCTCCCACCCCCCACCCAGGGACTCACCTTTTGTTATTTAGAATTTGTCAAATGTGTTTGGTGTGTTAATTAAGGTACAGGTTAAAATAACCCTAACATTATCTCTGGCCTAAAGGTATTAACCCCAACATTTCCCAAAGTACTATCCATCCCACAAGGTGATGGGAGTTTGAATAAACTTAGGAAACACTCCATGTGATCCAGCAGTATGGTAAAACCTCTGAAGTGAAGTACATATAGTTAGCCTTTTATCTTTGTTGGTATACAACACCCTAGTACTTTTCAAACTGCAGGTCTTGGGTCTTAAAATCAATTTAACAGGGTAGGGTCAGTAGTTTCCTTATCAAACAGAATGCACAATAAAATAGAAGTGGTCTCTATGCATCCTTCTTAATGAAGATTTCTAGTGTTTAATGAAGTTTTTGGTTCTTCCACATGTAACAGAAATAAAGCCACAAGTCAGGGGACAGTTGTGGTCATGAGCACTAATGAAACAGGGCCTCTGGACTTAAATCCTGGTTCTGCACACCTCTGCATGTATGTAGGCAGCATTACATGCACGTTCGTTATTCATGTACCTATTAGATACATGTGTATGTATGTACTAGGTCACTGCCTATGAAAGTAGGCTGGGACTCACTTCGGGAAACATTGATGTAAGGCAGGTAATGGCTGGCAGTGGCCAGTGCTGACCAACTGCTCCACGCTAAGTGCCCTGTCTTTCTCACGGCAGTCCTTGGAGTTAGGCATTGCCATTGTCCTGCAGGACTATATCCCAGTGCATAGTGGAGGCAGCATCTGAACTCAAGCTGCTCACAGGACAGCTCACATGTTCAACCACCCAATGTTGAGTATTGCAACATGATAGCATCACACAGATGGGGTCTGCAGGCTTGTGACGCTCAGACCTCATACAGCTCTGCACAACTACAGAAATGAGCTGACGATGCTTCTGTTCTGTGTAACATGACCCCTGGAGGGTGAGCAGGGAGTCGTTGGCACTTTGAGGCTGGAACAGAGCTTGCTGCTGCAGCACAGTCTCTGCAGGCTCCTGTCCTTAGAAAGGCGGTCTGGCATCCAGCGAAACGTGAACAGGCCAGGGCCCAGTGACCAGCTGTGCCTGCAGAGGTGTCTTTCCTCCCTCCTGCCCACTTCCTAACTTCTGCACACTGGTTTGTAACAAAGAGTGACAATGGCTCTAAGAGATAAATTTTCTTTGCAAAAATCACTTCCTGCCTGTAATTGGCCCAGGACATTCTGTAATGGTCACAGAGCTGCATGAAAGGGTGTTAAGTGAACCTTTTGCTTTTTCCCCTCTCTCTCTATTTTTTTAAAATTTTTTTTAACATTTTGCAGCACTGAGCTTTGAACCCAGGACCTTGGGCATAGCAGGCATATACTCTACTGCTGCACCACACTGGCAGCCCCCCATGACATACTTAAATAAGATAAATTAGAACTAATAACTGGAGGGCTAGCTCAGTGGAAGGTCACTTGCTAGCACTCATGAGGATCTGAGTGTGACTCTCAGGACCAATACCACAACCACCACAACAAAATGAATGAGTGAATGAATGAATAGTGATGTTTCCTTAAGAATTTAATATAAAATGAAATATCTTAAAATTTAGGCTGGACACCCCATTCCCCAGCAATCTAAAAAGTATAACTAATTTCATTGTGGGAAGTAGGCTTCAGTTTTTCTTTAAAGGTCAGACTTAATACACATGATCCCTTATCCTCTGTCAGGTAGATTGGAAGAGGTCACTGCTGTCACACTTTCCTTCTCTAAAAATGCTGTCTGATGTATTGGAAATCCTTCAGATACTCATGTTGGTCAAAGCTACAGAATTTTCCATCTTTATGGGCCCTGCGTCCATCAAAGGAGCAAGATGAATTATCAGTGAGAAGCATGGCAAACCGTGAGAT